GTAACGGAATGCATTCGGATTTGACGAATCTTTATTAGTTTTTCTCACTTAATTGAATATTACCTTATCCGAATTTGTTACTTATTTCTAAAAGAATTTGATGCATTTTTCTCTCAGGTATTGGCTTCAAGAGTGTGTTTCTCATCACTGCTCGCCCCTACATCTTCAGCAACGGGTATCAGATACGATTCAGTGAGGAACCTTGCCAGCACTGCAATGTAGGCTATATTGTACCTGAGTGGGTGGAGGCAAACCCAACTCTTTCAGTTATTAGACAAGTCTATGGATCTTCTGCTACCCTTCCAGCCACAACTTTAGTGCTTCCGCTGAAATCTGACAAGGTGAAACCTGTTAAGCAGAAGCTTTCCAGCATTCATCCTGAAGTTCTTCTCTTTCTTTCAAAGATAAAGAAGCTTTCAGTCAGGGAAGACAATGAGGATCCCAGGCTTAACACAGTCAGTGCTATTTCCATTTCCACTGAGACTGATTTTGTTAAGAAGAAAAACATAGATGCTGAATCCTACCTGCTCCATCTCTCCGCTGATGAAAAATCTGGTCTGGGGGAATGCAGTTACTACATGTGGAAACAAAAGTTTCCTGTCAGGCGGGAGCATAGAGTGGATAGAAGAATGGAAGTTGATGAGTGGGTAATCACTCTAGCTTTTCCCAATGGAGAGCGCCTCAACAGGGGAACAAGCTCTCCTGGGATTTATGCTTTTCTTCCCACAGAGATGGTTACAAACTTCCCCTTCATTATTCAGGCTGACTTTCTTCTAGCATCGTCAAGGGAGACGATCCTTCTGGATGACATATGGAACCAGGGAATTCTTGACTGCGTTCCTACTGCTTTTGTCAATGCTTTCACATCACTTGTGAGATCTAGTGAAGGTGCTCCCATTTCTACTCTGACTCATATGTTTGGCTTTCTGCCAGTGAATGAATCTCCCTATCCAATTCTTAATGGCGTGAGAAACTCCATTAAAAGAAAACTGCTGGATGAAAGTATCATTCCATGTGAGTCATATGTGGAACAACAATTCTTTCAGAAACCCAATGACGTTGGTAGGTTGTTTCCTGCTTTCTGGAATCTGCTGAACAAGGCAAGGAAGCAGGGGGTTGTATTGCATAACATCTCATCCCATGGAAGATTCATCGTAAACTCAGCTTTTGATAAGGAGATGTACAACCACATTTTGAGCTTTCTGGAAGTGAAACATGTTGACAATGGATGGTACGCAAAGTGCATTCAGAGTTCGAATTTTGTGTTGGGAGTCTCAGAGGATGTTTACTTAGAACTTTTAGCGTTTGTCGCTGAGAAATGGTCGTCTTCTTTCAAGACAACTGAGATGATGAACATACAACTTCTGAAGTATGTTGATTTTGATGAAGATGTAGTTTTGTGTAGCATATATGAGGCACTGAATGGTGATCGTTCTTTGCTTTTATCTCGCGAACCGGGTCACATCTCTTGGCTGATCAACTGGAACTCAGAATTTCGTTTTGCCAATCATCTTTTCTTTGCCAAATCAACACAATCAGCAGTTGGGGATCATTCTAAAAGTCAGACAGTTTTGGACTGGCTTAAAGATGAGGTCAAGGTGAGATCTGTGAATGTGCATGACTATGCTGTTCTGGTTCTTAACTCACACAGTGATGATAGAAAGATTGCTATGGCTTTGGCCTACTTCTTACATCAGTCCCTCAGAAGGAACTATTTATCTAAAGATCAAGTTGTTGCTTTATGCTGTAAATTGCCGCTTGTTGATAACTATGGACATGTCACCCGACAGTGGAAAGGGGTAGTGGTGCCTGCGAATGGAAGTAAATGGGTGCAGTTGATTGGTTCAAACCCGTGGAAAGATGCAGGCTATGTTGTGCTCGGAGAAGATTATTTGCATTCTGGTAGCTATGCTGGAGATTGTAGCAGCAAGGAAGAGCTTCTGGCCTTTCTCAAGATCAATGTTGCAGCTATGGACATTCCAGACCTACCCCCTCCTGATGCAGAAATTACTAGTATGTATTCTCCACTGACCAAGGAAAATGCATTGCTAATGTTAGATTGGATTCGTAACATGAAAAGGAACAGACTTTCCTATCCAAAAAGATTTTTGACCTGCGTAAGGGAGGGAAGCTGGCTGAAGGTATCACTAAGTGGTAGCCCAAGCTACAGGCCTCCATCAAAATCATTCTTCCATACTTCATCATGGGGACATCTGCTTCAAAATAGATCAGTTCTTGTAGATATTCCATTAGTGGATCAGGGGTTTTATGGCAGTGAACTTATACAGTACAAGGAGGAGTTAAGTACAATAGGTGTCATGTTTGAATTTAAAGAGGCATGTGAATACATTGGACAACATTTTATGTCTCTGGCAACTTATTCTACTTTAACCAAAGTCCATGTGATGTCAATACTCAATTTCATCAAGTATTTGAGGGAGAAATATCTTTCCCCAGATACCTTCATCAATAGCATTAATGATAGACGGTGGTTGCAGACTACTCAAGGTGAGAAGAGCCCACAAGAGTCTGTTTTCTTGGATAGTGAGTGGGATGCTGCCTCACAGATCAGTGACATCCCGTTTATTGATAATAAGCATTATGGGAACGAGATTCATTCCTTTAAAATAGAACTGATGCTGCTTGGAGTGGTGTTTGGTTTTAATCAAATTACCAGCTTGTTGTTGACAACTTGAGATCTTCAACACGCATAGGTTGCCTGAGTACTGATGCTTTGCTCTTGATCCTGAAGTGTATTTGCAACCTGAGATCATCTGAAAAAATATGCAGGGCACTTAAGGATAACAAATGTATGAAGACCATAAACATGGGGTGGAAATCTCCGGCTGAATGTTTTTTGCTTGATCCTGTGTGGGGCTGCCTGCTGCAGGTGTTTTGCAGTTTTCCTCTTATTGATACAAATTTCTATGGAAGCAATATCTTGTCATTTAAAAGCGAGTTGCAGAAATTAGGGGTGGTGGTTAATTTTGAGGAGGCAACTAAAGCTTTTGTTGCTGTGTTCAGGCAGCAGACATCTAAGGGTTCATTAAACAAAGATAGTGCTCATTCCCTTCTCTCATGTTACAGAAAGTTAAAGAATACTAGCTTTCCTTCAGATCTTAAGAGTTGCATTCAAGAGGTCGAGTGGTTGCGAACTCGAACTGGTGATAAATTACCTAAAGAATGCATACTTTTTGATTCAGCTTGGGAAGCTCTCTCTTCAATCTCTTTGTTGCCTTTTATTGATGATAGTGAGGCTCGGTACGGAAGGAGCATTCATGAGTATAAGGATGAACTTAAGAGTTTGGGAGTTGCGGTGACTTTTGAAAGTGGGGCAAAGTTTGTGCCTGCAAGCCTACGTTTTCCTGATGACCCTAGCGTCATTACTGTTCCAGCGGCAATCTCATTGTTAGTGTGCTTGCAGAAATTGCAGGTGGATAATAATGATTATCTGATTGCTTTGCGGTCAAAGCTTGCTAGAAAATGGATGAAGACTAATGCTGGTTACAGGTCACCAGATAAGTGTTTTTTGTTTGGTCCTCAGTGGAATCCTATCTTACTGCCTGAAGATGGTCCTTTCATCGATGAAAACTTTTATGGCTCCAACATAGGATCATATAAGAAAGAGCTCAAGTCTCTTGGTGTTGTAGTTGAAATTGGAGATGGATGCTCTTTGCTTGCTGATTATCTTGATTCACATTCCAGCAGGATTACTATCACGCGGATCTATAAGTACTTGAGCAAGTTCAACTGGGAACCAGAAAAAGAAGATGCTAGAAAAATATGGATTCCAAATGGTGATAACGATGGAGATTGGGTGAATTCTGATGATTGTGTTCTGCATGACAAAAGTGGTTACTTTGGCCTGCAGTTGCATGTCCTAGAGAAGCACTACGACAGGGAACTGCTCAGTTTCTTCTCCAAATTAGGTGTCAAAAGCAATCCTTCTCTTGATGATTTTATCAAGCTATGGAATTCATGGGAAAATGCTGGCCGCAATTTGTCACAATCAGAGTGCCAAACTTTCTGGGAGTTCATTGTGAAGCACTGGAGCTCACGATCTGAGAAAATTCTGTCTGAAAACTTGTCAAAACTTCCTGCAAGTTCAGGCTTGAAAAAGGAAATTTTGATGCTTGACAAACGTGATGTTTTTATTGGTGATGATCTCTATCTGAAGGATTTATTTGAAAAGTCTTCTTCTCATCACTTGTTCGTTTGGTATCCACAACCAAGCTTGCAATCTTTGCCTCGACAGGAGCTACTTGAAATTTACAGCAAAATTGGTGTTCGTAATTTGTCTGAATCTGTTTTGAAGAAAAGCCTGTCTTCTGTTAATTGTGATGGACTTGAGCAGGTGCAGCCAAAAGAAATCTTCATTGGGAGGGGTTTGTTTAAGTTAATTCTTGGCTTCCTTGCTGATCCTTTACTTCAAATGGAAGTGCATAAGAGACATGAAGCTCTCAAATGCCTCATGGATGTCAGTATTTTTGCTACATTAGAACCAATCACCATGGATTGCAGTTTGTCACTTTCTTCTGGAGAAGTCCTGAATGTGGAAGTGAGCCGAATGATTTGTTGGGAAAGAAAAAATTCAAAGATCTTCCTACAGAAGCTGGACAAATCAGGTGGTTACAAAAGCAAGCTTGAGTATGCGACATATTTCTCTGAAGTAGTTGCTGAGGGAATTCTAAAAGAGAAAGTAGATTTTGTGCCTCAACTGGCTGAATTGATCAAGTTGGGGTTCATCCTAGAATTTGATGAGTCAGCTATTGAGTTCTTGATGAAAACAGAGAATCTGCAGATATTTTTGGAGGATGAAGAATTTCTCTCCTCTGCCTTCACTTCTGAATAGGTATTTATGTGTATTAAAATCTCCCATCCCCATTATATCTTGTAAAATGTTTATGTTAAAACATGATCATCTACTTAATCTTCTCTCTGGTTGAGATACAAAATCCGATAATTAACTATCCTGAAATATTTTCTGCAGGAGGGAAGACATGGTTGTAAATGGTTTGGAGGAACTTTCTGGTGTTTTCTGCTCTGGTGAAATGCCAAACGGGATTTCTGGTCTGGCGAGAAGTCTGTTGAATGTAGATTGATCATTTGTTATAATTCCCTGCTAGTTGTCAATGCCCTTTGTTTTGTATTTAGTTGCTCTAAGGTTCTCTGTGTAATTTACTAAATTTGCACTTAGAGAGATACAATTGCTGAAAAGCTTATTCCTCTGTTCCATGTCTTTAAGATTGGTCCTCTGCATCTTTTTCCAGTTCTAAAGTTATTAAAATTACTTTCTTTAGTTCACATGTTTATCTATCATAATGTTGTGTGTGCAAGCTCTCATGCGCGTATAGATGAGCCATTTGCTAATCCTTTTTGGCTTCCTCACCCATGAAGAAACTTTCTGAAAATCTGATAGAAAAGAAGTTGAGATTTCTCCATCACAACAATGGATGTACACATTCTATGTGGCCTGTTGATTACATGAATCATTTAGTTGGAGTAAACTGACTAAATGACATATTAAAGATTATATATTACTAGTCCTAACAGGACTTTCTAGTTTTCCCTTAAATATCTCTCAATCTGTTTAAATCCCTTAATTATCTCTTGTTTAATTGATTGTTATCACAATTATCAGTACTCTCTCTCTCTCTCTGCTTTGTTCATCATTTTTTTTTGCTACCTTCCACCATTTTTATTATTGTTAATTTAATCAGAAAATACATGGATTGTCATCAATATTGATTCAACACGGAGGTTGATAATTTTACAGGTTTGTTTTTTATGTCGTTTTTATTTTTTATTTTTTTGTACCGATTTAGATTTTTTTTTAGCAGTAACGTGATTACTTTGGATACAATAGGTTCGTTTATCTTGTTTTGAAAGTTAATTCTTCGATAAAAAAATTTTGTTGAATTTTTTTTCTTTTTTTGTATATGTTTTTTGTTAATTTCTTGTTCTTTTTTCGTGACGGTTTTTTTTTGTTATTAGTGAAATGAAATTTTTGTAGTGGGTTCTGATTATTTTATTTGTATCTTTTACTATATCAATTTTGATTTTGTTGTAATAAAGTGACTAATGAAATTGGATACTACGTATTCATTTTTCTCATTTTGATTTTTTTTTTTAGCTTTGTTGGTGCAGTTTGTGTTAAATTCTTCATCTTTTGTAATGAATTTTGATGATTTTTGTATGAAATTTGATTGTAAGAGGTATATTTTAAAAACTTATTTCATACAAATAATAACGAAAATAAATTGTATAAATTGTGGTTTGAATAATGATTTAAACTGTGTGGTTTGTATTTATGAATTGTGGTTTGGTCTAAATACATCTTGCAATTATACATGAGTATTAAAATTGATTCATATTAAATTTCTGACTGTTCAAAATGTGAGAACTTGAGGATCATATGAAAATTGTATGCATTATGGTTTTAAAGACGGTATATAAATAATTTTGTTGGATTTTGCATATGTCATCATCATGACATTATTAAAAATTGATTCATATTAAATTTCTGACTGTTCAAAATGTGAGAACTTGAGGATCATATGAAAATTGTATGCATTATGGTTTTAAAGACGGTATATAAATAATTTTGTTGGATTTTGCATATTTCATCATCATGACATTAATTTTTTTTTTGTTCTCAGGTAGATATATTGATCACATGTAGTCAAAAGGGCACAATAGAAATATATGTGGTTGATATCCACCTGAAGCATCGTCTATAATCATATTTTTGTGCTTGTTTGGTTTATTTCTTTGTTATAAATAGATAAAGTTTTTTTTATTTCTAATTTAATAGATTATGTTTATCGAGTTTTTTTAATTATTAATTTCAGTTTATATACTTGTCGCTTCCACATTTCAAAATTTTGGAGTATGAATACACATAGTGTACTAGTGAGAAATACGAATTTTTAGATCATTTTGTATATAATAATTGATTTATAAACTGATTTTTATTGTTCAAATATTTTGAACTAGTCTATTGTATCAATTTGTATCATATGTGATTTTGAAAAATTTATTGTTCAAATATTTTGAACTCTTCTATTGTATCAATTTGGTATCATATGTGATTTTAAAAAATAAAAACTGTCAACTATATTATATTGATATATATTCAGGTTTCAAAAAATATAGGATTTGAATGTGCTATATGATTATGATTTAATTTGTGGTTTCGTACAAATTATTGTTCAAATATTTTGAACTCTTCTATTGTATCAATTTGATATCATATGTGATTTTAAAAAATAAAAATTGTCAACTATATTATATTGATATATATTTAAGTTTTAAAAAATATAGGATTGAATGTGCTATATGATTATGATTTAATTTGTGGTTTCGTACAAATTATTGTTACAATATTTTGTACTCTTCTATTGTATCAATTTGGTATCATATGTGATTTAAAAAAAATAAACATTGTCAACTATATTATGTTGATATATATTCAGGTTTCAAAAAATATAGGATTTGAATGTGCTATATGATTATGATTTAATTTGTGGTTTCAAACAAATGTTTCTAAACTATTTGAGACTAATATTTTTTTCCAACTACTTGTGTATATAATTGGTTCATAAAATTATTTTTGTGGTTTAATTTTTTTGAACTGATCTACATGTATCAATTTGGTATGATATGTGGTGTTCAAAAATAAATTATTCAACTGTATGATATTGATATATGTTCAAATTAAAGATTATATACATATACTATTCATTCTTTCAAGTAAAGAAGTGTATAAAAATGATTTTGTATGCATATTTATTATATAAAATGTAACCAATCTAATTTTAAAGAAAATTTAGACATAAACAAGTCATTTAAAAAATTTTAAAACCTGTTTTAATACTAATTTACCAAGTTAGAGCAGGGAGAAATTTTTTAGATCTTGAGTAATGGTTGAGATTATTATCTAAAATAAAAAATAAATAAAATTTAAATCAAATAAATTAGAAGTTTGGTAAAACTAAAATTCTTAAATAGTTAGGCAATTACTTTGTAACCGTCATAAAAAAAGCACGTATTTTGTTCTTCTCTTTCCAGCATTAAATACGAAAGTAAAAAATAATTAAAATTTAAATTAAGAAAAATAGAAGACATGTTAAATTAAAATTCCTCAATTGTGGTTAGACAATCACCATGGTAACTGCCATAAAAATATGGTTTTTTTTTTCTCTTTACAACATTAAGTACGGAAATTAAAAACAAATAAATTAGAAGAGCGGTAAAATTTAAATTTCTAAATTATAGTTAGATAATATCTTGGTAATTGTTATAAAAAGAACACGTCTTTTGTTTTCTCTTTCCAACATTAAATACAAAAATAATAAATAAATTTAAATTAATTCAAATTTATTATCACTCGTAATTACGTTGTTATATTAATAATTTCTTATTAGTATATTTATATGATGTTATATTCAAATCTGTTTATGTTTGGCTGCTCTAATATTTATACTATTCTGGTGTTTAGGAAAATCTGTTTTTGTTACATTCCTGTTATGTTTTTGTTTATTTCCCTCAAAGAAAAAAGCGATCATAGTAAAATCTTAGCAGTTAAAAAGCTCAAAAGTAAGCAAATGACTGCAGATTTGTTTATAATAAAACAACAATTCTGCCGCAATCCAAGCTAGATGGGGATTGACTATAATCCATGTACAGACTCACATCAATCAAATCTGTTTATGTTTGGCTGCTCTAGTATTTATACTTTTATGAGTTCATAGTTCCTGCCACAGACCATAGTTAAAGAAAAATAAAACATGATATAAAATTGTAAATATGTGGAGTTCTCGCCTTATATACTTGTCTATTTCATTTTTCGAGAGTCACATTACCTAAATTATGAAAAGAGAAATATATTGTAACAAGTAATATGAAATAGAATGAGTAGTATAATTGTAATAATTTAAATTTAAAATAAATATTAAAGTAGTTCAAGTAATAGGTTTATATTACCCTCGTGCACTTTTAATTGTCATGGTTTCCTTTTGCAGAGTCAAATGATAAGAACTTTGACTAACATTTTACAATATATTTTTTTATCATACTGATATGTAAAAAATTGTAATTTATAGTACTTTTCGTATAATTTTTTAATATCTAATTTTTTGTTTGTTTAAGATATCGAATTAATATAATCTAATTTAACTTTGAAAATTAATCAAATTAACTTTCAAAAAGTGGACAAAGGGAGTATATATTATACATTTATAATTTTGATGCACAAATAAATATTTTCCTAAATTGAATGTGTGTTGTAGATGATAATATTTTCTACTAATGCACCCTATAGCTTACTTTACAGTTTATTTGTGGGAATATATGATAAAGCTTTGTATGTGTTGTTTGTAGGTACCTAACTTGATATTCATTGCGGAGCGATTGAAATTTCTTCACCTTCAAGTTATTAAATTTGAATTTTGAGAATGAAAAAAAGTCACTCTTTCTGTCCAATAATAGTTGTCCACTATACTATTTTGGAATGTTCAACAATAGTTGTCCATTTTATGAAATCAATGGATAATTTTACACTTAGTTCCTAATTTACCCATATCATTAATTATAGTCATTTTCCTATTACATTTTTTCAAGACAATGTATTTATTATATTCAAAGGGTAATATAGTAAAATTACATTTCTATTTATAGTTTCTTAAGAAGTGTGTAAAGTCAATAGTGGATAAGTATTGTTGGACAAATGAAGTATGTTGAGAGCATTGTTTCCAAAATGGGTCTTGTAATACGCGTGATTATAATTTAATAAAACTTTAATATAAATATCTCGATATTTTGGATGGAATGAGTAGGCTGGGCTTAATTTAAAATATTGGCATCCAGGCGCGCCTCTCCTCTTTGAAAAAAAAAGGCTAATGCATCACTATACAAATATCCACTTGCTTCTGTGAGATAGTGACTATTTATTGTACCAAATATCCCTTAGGACACTTTAATTAAGAATAATATTTATTGAACACTTAAATTATTTAATAATTATATTTATCAAACACAAAATGTTGATGTAGCAAAAAAAAAAAAGTATTTCACT